AATACTTGATAAGATGTTTTTCAAGATGACAATATTACAAATGATAAATATTTATTATAAAAATTTCAATTGATATATTTCTCAATTTCTGTTGATATAATTTTTTTTTAGTACCTTAATGAATTTTCTTCTATGTGTTATATATTGGTTAAATTTTAAAATGTAGTCAAATATGATGTATGAAAAATCATAATTTTTTCAAGTATGTATAAAGCTATGCATCATAGTTAAAATATATACATGTACATTATGTAATGTACATTTTAACAAACATATAATTATTATGTCGTATCACGGATTTTATATATATATAAATCCGTGGTCGTATTTATAAAATTTAAAGTGATTTCTGTCTGTCTTATTTGTTGTTCGTATAATTGTAATAAGTAATATATTGAAAAAAAAATTAATAATGACCTAATTGTTATAGTTAATAGTTTTATTACTTATAAACACAATGTTTCTACAGATAGTCGCATTAAACTATGATAATTCATTTTGTGGTCTATATTTTTGAAAAATTTCATCTAACGTTTTATCATGTATTGATTTTCATGTTTGTTCATTCGTTTGAAACTAATGTATTGTATCATAAACTTTTGGCATTGTGTATGTATTCAGAAATATTTTTATGTTGCATGTTGTCAGTAAGAATGCATAAGCTCGTGAAAAAATTTCGAAATTTTCGAAAGGTTTATTAACCTTTATATATATATTACTGTTCCTTGACATTTCTTAATTTTTTTGAAAAATAACTTTTGCATAATATTTGAGATTGTTATAAGTAATAGGTTATTGTTTATTTTTTTAAATTTTATGGAACTTATTGCAAGCCACGCGAAGCGCAGCATAATTCTATCAAATTGAAAATATAATACGATAACAAACCCGCATTTCTTGTATTTTCTTGTCAACGCCCGTATTGAAAAAATGAAAATCAGAATTTTGATCACAGAGAAGCAAAACTGTTGCTATCGTCGCAGAAACTTTTTAATTAAAAAGACGACAAAAACTCTTATGGTTGATATTTTATTTTTAACCCTTAATGAGTTTTCGGGATTTTCATATAGGCATATAGGCAAAATTAAACTGTTCAATAGAATTTCTTTAAACTTGGCATTTTGTTAAAATATGATAACAGAAACATTTTAAACAAAAAGAATTTGGGTCACCGTTCTCGAGTTATATCAATAGGCGCCAACAAGAGCCGGTTGATCAGGTTCCACATGTTCGGTGCTTGGACACTAGAATCATACTCAGTGGTTGGGCAGTAACAGTGTAGATTCTTGGCAGACGGCGCGAATGCGCACCGACTGATTGTGATCTACGATGTTCGCAAAGGCTGAGTATACTCGTCAAAGCACTTAATTAAGTTTTATGTCTACCGATGTTCGCAAAAGGCTGAGTATACTCGGTCAAGCACTTAAATTAAGTTTTACTGCTCTGTAGTTTGTTTCAGCTGCCGGGAGGGAGTTTTAAAATGTCTAGATTTGCTATTAAACAAAAGATGCCAGTTCCATACCATCCCCTGTGTTGGTTGAGCCATGGTTTAAATTTTAAATACGGAATATTTGACAGGATGACCCGCAGAACAATCTCTGCCCTGCACTAGAGTCCTTTTGTAAGTCATAACTTGTGCTTGTTTCTTTGCCATGATGAAAAAACGCAAACTTCAGTTAATGATCATGAAACGCCAGCCTCCCTTTCACTGTCTATTGGTGTCACATTCTAAGAAATATATATCATGAGGTTTTTATGTTGATACAATTAAGTATTAAAGTTAAGCCCGCTGTCCCGCCAGCTTTGCCCAGTTCACACTGCTAGTCCGCTACACTGTTAGCCCGCCCACTTTCAAACTGCCAGGTAATGTATCATAACGTTTGTATGTTCAATCAATAAAGTTTTGATTTTAGCCCGTTGGCCCGCCAGCCGCCCAGATCACACTGCTAGCCCTTTACACTGTTAGCCCGCCCACTTCACACTGCAAGGTAATATACCATGAGGTTTTAATGTTAAATCAATAAAGTTTAGATTTAGCCGCTGGCCCGCCAGCCCCGCCCAGTTCACACTGTTAGCCCGCTACACTTGTCAGGCCCCGTCCAATTCACATGCTAGGAAATGTATCATGAGGTTTTATGTTGAATCAATAAAGTTTTAGATTTTAGCCCGCTGGCCGAAAGCCGCCAGTTCACACTGCTAGCCCGCTACACTGTTAGCCCGTCATGTTCACACTGCTAGCCCGCTACACTGTCAGCCCGTCCAATTCACACTGCTAGGAAATGTATCATGAGGTTTTAATGTTCAATCAATAAAGTTTTAGATTTTAGCCCGCTGGCCCGCCAGTCCGCCCAGTTCACACTGCTAGCCCGCTACACTGTCAGCCCGTCCAATTCACACTGGTAGGAAATGTATCATGAGGTTTTTAATGTTGAATAAATAAAGTTTTAGATTTTAGCCCGCTGGCCCGCCAGCCCGCCCAGTTCACACTGCTAGCACGCTACACTGTCATCCCGTCCAATTCACACTGCTAGGAAATGTATCATGAGGTTTTAATGTTGAATCAATAAAGTTTTAGATTTTAGCCCGCTGGCCAGCCAGCCGGCCCAGTTCACACTGCTAGCCCGCTACACTGGTAGCCCGCTCACTTCACACTGCCAGGGTAATGTATCATAATGTTTTTTATGTTCAATCAATAAAGTTTTAAGATTTTAGCCCGTTGGTCGCCAGCCCGCCCAGTTCACACTGCTAGCCGCTACACTGTCAGCCCGTCCAATTCATACTGCTAGGAAATGTATCATGAGGTTTTAATGTTCAATCAATAAGTTTTAGATTTTATCCCGCTGGCCGCCAAGTTCACACTGCTAGCCCGCCCACTTCACACTGCCAGGTAATGTATCATAACGTTTTCATGTTCAATCAATAAAGTTTTAGATTTTAGCCCGCTGGCCCGCCAGCCCGCCCAGTTCACACTGCTAGCCGCGCTACACTGTTAACCTGCCCACTTCACACTGCCAGTAATGTATCATAACATTTTTATGTGAATCAATAAAGTTTTTAGATTTTAGCCCGCTGGCCCGCCAGCCCGCCCAGTTCACACTGCTATCCCGTACACTGTTAGCCGCCCACTTCACACTGCCAGGTAATGTATCATAACATTTTTATGTTCAATCAATAAAGTTTTACTTTTTAGCCCGTTGGTCCGCCAGCCGCCCAGTTCACACTGCTAGCCCGCTACACTGTCAGCCCGTCCAATTCACACTGCTAGGAAATGTATCATGAGGTTTTAATGTTCAATCAATAAAGTTTTAGATTTTAGCCCGCTGGCCGCCAGCCGCCAAGTTCACACTGCTAGCCCGCTACACAGTTAGCCCGCCACTTCACACTGCCAGGTAATGTATCATAACGTTTTCATGTTGAATCAATAAAGTTTAAGATTTTAGCCCGCTGGCCCGCCAGCCCGCCCAGTTCACACTGCTATCCCGCTACACTGTCAGCCCGTCCAATTCACACTGCTAGGAAATGTATCATGAGTTTAATGTTGAATCAATAAAGTTTTTAAATTTTAGCCGCTGGCCCGCCAGCCCGCCCAGTTCACAGTGCTAGCCCGCTACACTGTTAGCCCGCTCACTTCACACTACCAGGTAATGTATCATAATGTTTTTATGATCAATCAATAAAGTTTTAGATTTTAGCCCGTTGGCCCGCCAGCCCGCCCAGTTCACACTGCTAGCCCGCTACACTGTCAGCCGGTCCAATTCACACTGCTAGGAAATGTATCGTGAGCTTTTAATGTTCAATCAATAAAGTTTTAGATTTTAGCCCGCTGGCCCGCCAGCCCGCCAAGTTCACACTGCTAGCCCGCTACACTGCTAGCCCGCCCACTTCACACTGCCAGGTAATGTATCATAACGTTTTCATGTTCAATCAATAAGTTTTAGATTTTATCCCGCTGGCCCGCCAGCCCCGCCCAGTTCACACTGCTAGCCCGCTACACTGTTAGCCGCCCACTTCACACTGTCAGGTAATGTATCATAACATTTTTATGTTCAATAATAAAGTTTTAGATTTTAGCCCGCTGGCCCGCCAGCCCGCCCAGTTCACACTGTTAGCCCGCTATACTGCTAGCCCGCCCAGTTCACACTGTTAGCCCGCTAGACTGCTAGCCCGCTCAGTTCATACTGTTAGCCCGCTAGACTGCTAGCCCGTTAGCCCGCGTACTTCACAGACATGTACCGAATATCGGTACAGTATTTCGTAACATACAGAAATTGCAAGTACAATAATTCTGTGTTAGTTAAAAGACATGAAAAAGTTCAACTATTGACATTCTAGAAAAAAATTTGTAAGCTTGTTTCACAAGGAGAACAAACAGCTGCAAATATATAAATTAGAAAGAAAATCACAAAACCAATTTCATTTAAAGATATACTGCAAAATAAAACAAAACAAAAATAAATCCTTTTGAAATGACGAGTTAGTTTCTTTTTCTTTTTTATCATTATTACATTGTCATATTATTTCCTTGAATTAGTTTTGGAAGGTATTCAAGTTTATTTTTTATAAATACGGGATTTATTTTCATCAAGTGATATGAAAATAAATACTTCATGAGTGGCAATAGCCACGAGTGAAATATGATAATTTTCATTCCACAAGAAAAAAAAACTTGAATTTTCTGTTTATTATATACATTTTTTCTCTGTTTTTGATTCAACAATTTGAAAGACTTGTACTTAAATTTTGAATATTGACTTAATTTAGAAGAAAGTAGTCCGGCAAGACACCAGTGAAAATACGGAAAATATGTTTCACTTCAGTGAAAAATAATTTTTTATAGTAAAAATACGGAAAACAAAAATACGCATTTAATTTCATCATATTTCTCAATATTTCATTTCGAAGTGTATAAGAAAATAGCATGTTTTCTGTTTGACAAAAATCTACTTTTCTTTGAAGCTGATAGAAACAAAATAATATCTAAATAATTTTGTTTATTTCAGCGACGTCAGAGGACGTCATTTACACCATGCCAGCTTTCAGCACTAGAAGAATTATTTGCGCGGATATATTATCCTGACATATTTGTGAGGGAGGAGTTAGCAGCAAAAATTAACCTGTGTGAGGCCAGGGTACAGGTAAATTTACTTCTTTGATAATTTAGCTTTAAACATATATTATTGTACTAAACAATGTAATAAAAGTATTTTACCTTAATACAGTACACTATTTGTGAGGCCAAGGGTACAGGTAAAAACATTATTGATATTTCTTTACAAAATTTGTCTTAAAAATAAGGTATTGTACTAAACAAAATAAATACAAAATATAAAGAATTCTTAAGCTAAATGCAGCAAATACAGTAAAACATTCGTGAAGCCAGGGTACAGAGGAAAAAAAAACATTAGTGATATTTCTATACGAAATTTAGGTTTTAAAAATGAAGTAACGTAATTCTGACAAAAATAATTTTAACTATACTTTGGCTTCATGCAGTTTATTAGAGTAAATTGAAATGTCCTATCCACTAGGGGTCAAACACTGATAAAAAGGGGTTTAAGAAAGTTTAGGGGTCTTTCTTTCAATATATAATACACCAAAGGTGAATAATTTTACCTAACTCGTCTTTATTGGTAATAAAATACGTTTAAACTGAAACATAGAATCAGTAGCTGTAATAGTTCCGATATTGATATTGATTCACCTCTCCTATTGCAATTCCGATCCGAAAAGTAAAATATAGCTTTTATGAATGCATTTCTCTTTCAATATTGTTAAAGGTGTGGTTCCAAAACAGAAGAGCAAAATGGCGAAAGGAGTTACGTAAGACCGGAATCAATGCTGCTTTACGTTACTACAATCACATGCCGATAAATGACAGTGTCGCGGCAGATTTGAACAGGCGATTACGTTAGAACGCCACGTGCGCGCCGCCGGTAATGCCGCCATTTCTTGGTTGTATGGCGCTTCACGAGAATTCCATGCAAGATTTTTGGTATTCTCACGCTCTTAGATACTCTGGACTTTTTGATAGGTTAGTGGATGTTTTTGTTTATTGTTCTATTTTTAGAAAAAGAACTTTGTTGTGTGTTCTAATGTATAGACAATCATTGTTTTGCTAATGATTAAATTCAGCCTATTCAATTTATGTTTTAATTCATAGAACAATGCAAACCAATGGAATTACCGCATGGTAGAAAAAATCTTTGATCTCCATCATATAGCAATCAACGCGACATATAAGCTCTGCATTGTATTATTTCTATATTATGTATTATTTGTTTGTTGATGTTTAATTTATTTTAATTTATTTTTATTTTCATTTTCTATTTGTGGTAATCTATAATTCATAGTGAAATATATTTTCCATATCAATTGTACCTGGTATAGCTCATTTCAATCATGTAAGACACTCATTCTTAAAAATTTATGTTTCTTGCAGAGTGCCACCTGGCGGCGATCTTCGGAATCAGCATCATCATAATTTGCACACGCCACCAAAGTGAATTCCCATATTGTGATACGTCACCAAGATGAAACTCGATCTTGCCTGTTAATTGTCACATGCCCTTGTCTTGTTGAAAAAAACAAAAACATTTGACTATTTGGTGTTGGGGATTTGCCACCCTGAATAAAATACATCTGTAACTAATTTTATATTACAGGGTGACGCAGCGAAATGTTTCATTTTTATTTTGGAAAATACGTGTATTGTATGGATTTATAAAAAAGGGTCAAATTTTATATATCTGTCATGGTTTGAATTACAATTTTGTATATTTTGTCCCAGGAAATTGTTCCATTTTCAAATTCTTTGATATATTGAATTAATCCACGGATTTATATTAATATAAATCCTTGATTAATCTAATCAACTAAATATTTAAAAGCCCTTTACCTCAGAAATGCCTTTTTTCTCAAAATGTAACTCATTGGTCAATAAACATCTTCTCGTTCAGTTGCTATATGGACCTAAGTTGCTTTTATGTATATTCATTGGTAAAACTATGAAAACATTACTTGATATTTAAGGCGTGTTTGTTAATACAATTTTATTGACTGCCACTATAAAATGTTTTGACAGTTTCTACATTTTAATGTGGGTTAGAATGTGCAATATGAACTACAGATATTATTTGTGTATATATTAAATATATATGTTATCACTTATGTCTGAAAGAAAATGTTATATAAATAAAGTGTGTGTTGTTGTTTTATTTCTCCTGTTTTTTTTATTATTTTACCAAAAAATAATATATCTATTTTCTGACATTAAAATAAATAAAATAAATAAATAAATAATCAAGCTGAATACGAAGGGAAATTAATCTGTCAGTCTTACCAATACATACATTTTGGGCACTCATCTGCAAAATACAACTAAGGGAGACAATTACACCGGGCTTACATGATACACATTTAACAGAATATATGCACTTAAACAAAATATTTTATCTTTCTTATAAAAATACAAGCATTCAATGAGTACGGTCAAATAATAAATATGATTCACTCATGTCATTATTTTTAACTGTTTGAACTAATGCAAACAAATCTCTGTAAACCCAAAAAAAATGAATGAAAATGAATGATAACCAAAACGTGCCTTAATGAAACATCCGTAAATACTTGTGCGGTAAATTGAACGAACTTGTCAAAGGAAAATAATTCGCCCCGGCTGACCCATTATCCACGAACGAATTTATTTACGGAAGATCGTAAGTTAAAAAGTTGCCGATGTAAAAATTAAAATTTGATTTTCAGATCATCATTTGGTATGATCTAAACATAATTTGGTTTGTTTCCATCTTTACGGATGAAAGAAGACGTCTAGTGCCCATTCGTGCATCAGGTACAAACGACCCTCCGTACACTAAGCTAGCTGAAAAGCTTTCTCACTTGAAAGAACTAAAAGTTTCTGACGAGATTCGAACTTACACTGGTGAGTGGCAAAAGTTATTTGCATTTGATAACATTAACCACTCGGTCTCTAAAGCCCGATCACTTTCTAGCACTTGAATACTACATTTTTCTATATCATTTAGGATGAGGTATTTTTCGAATTGCCGGTGCTTCGGTGTCGACGACGATTATGATATTGATGATGTGATGATGACGATGATGACGATGATAAGCTTGGTGGGTTCAAACGTATTATCCGCCGAAATAAAGGCTTTATTCAAGTGCTTTTTAAAGTGTCATGTTTTTATTTCAAGATAAAGGATAAAGGTCAGTATGAATTTTTTTTTATCAGATTGTTTTTCGTTCAAATTTTCATCAATTTAACGGTAAAAATCTTTTGCTTGTATAAGAACACATTTTGTCATATCTCGGCTACCAGTCCCCCGTACCTGCTTTCATGGATAATTTAATAGTATCCCTTATTACCGAGTAATCTGCAAGTGACCTATTACTGATCAACCGAGAGGTTCAATGACCGATAGGCTTAATATCCGAGATCAATTATCACGGAAAAATGTCGACTTGCACAAACATCGTATATATAACAAGGCCGATGTTCTCTCCATTCCATGAGAGAAGTCATCCAAATATGCTACAAGTCATTCACGTTTAATATAGTATCCTATCAAAATCTTCAATGTAAAATTACAACTGTTTATGAGAAAAGTTTTTTCTTCTATTCATGGTGGTTTCAGATACACTCGACTCTCGTTATCTCGAAGTCATCGGGACTGTCAAAAAATATCGAGATAACGAAATGTTGAGATAAACGTATAAGGCTTTGAATCAGTCAGAAACTGATTTTTACAAAAGACATGTGCATACCTTATATTTCAGAAAAAAATAGGTAAGATGTCTCCATGTCTTGTTTACTTTTAGCCTAATATTGCAAATTTAACACGACCCGCATGTTTTCCCTATTAAATATAGCAGAATCGAAAGTGTGAGTTATTAAAGAAATAATATATCCGAAACAGTGATTTTATCGCTCATTATTATCACTGTTTGGAGTTCGGATGCGACGAAATATATCACGAGGGCGTAGCCCGATTGATATAATGATGTGCATCCGAACGACAAACAGTGATGTTATCAAGCGATAAAATCACCTATTTGGATATTTTATGTCGAATCTAACACGACATCAATAATAAAAGTTGTCGTACCTGATATTTAGCAAAATTGCGCATGATTTGCTTCCGTACTTATTTTAAGCGCGTCGGATTCTTTTAGTGGTTACGTCACATATATAATGATTGCGTTACATATCTAAATATAGAACGTCAACAATGGCTCTATTGCATAATAAAATAGAGTGAAATAAGAATCCCTACAGAAAGCCCAGCACGGCAAAATTGAAAATGTTGCAGGCTCGGTTTGATTGAGCCTGTTCATTGGCGGTACTGTTAAGTGCAAACTACCGTCCACGCCCTCTAGCACCGGCTTAAGCAGAATTCAACATTTAACATGAACTGGTAAAATTTAGAATTTTGAAACATCCGCAGATGTGTTCATATGGCGGTTATCATGGAACCTTCAATGTGACACGTTAGTGCCATTCCACGAAAAGCGGCATATGGTCCCCAAGTAAAACAATGCGTGTGCCCTAAACGAGAAAACAATGGGCGGAACTAAATACAATGGAATTTTGAAAGGGGATCTTGAAAGGATTTTGAAAGGTTATGAAGCTTACATATCACAGATATAACATCAAAAGACAAATTTAAAAAGCAGGCCTCATATCCTAAGGGTGATTCAACAGTATTCAAGTGAGGAATACTGGAACAACCCGACAAGAAAGAAGCCAAATAGAAAGAACTAAAATACCACACTTTCGGTTCTTCTATTATATTCAATAGTGAAAAATACGGGTCGTGTTAGAATATGCAATAAAGAACGGAAACAAATCAGGTGCAATAAAGCTTAATTATAGGTACCGCAGCATTTATTTGTTGATGTCATGTTAGAATCGAAATAATATACCCAAATCGATGATTTATCGCTTGATAACATCACTGTTTGGCGTTCGGATGCGCATCATTATATCACTCGGGCTACGCCCTTGTGATATAATTCCTCGCATCCGAACTCCAAACAGAGATATTATTGAGCGATAAAATCACTGTTTGGGATATATTATTTCTTAAGTCAATATCAAACAAAATTGTTATATAAGCGGATGTTTACCACGGAAATACGACAGTCTGTGATAAACACACATAGTGAGATTTACTCCATAATTGGCGTCCGCGCCGAAGCGCGGCGCCCTTATGGAATGAAATCAGATTTTGTGAATGGGCGACATCAACTTCTCGAGCCTTTTAGTCGGTCATGATAAAAGCCGATCATTCCGATCGGTATGAGGGTGCTTGATTAAAAAAAATGTCTCGATATGTACAATGAATAGCAGAACTGGAGAATTTCGCAATGCATGAAATAATCTTTTCCGTTTTTTTATCATTTTGTAGTACACAGTGGGTTTTTATGGTATGTTAAAATAGAATGATGAGTTGATGAAAAATCTATTTATAGAAGGATGCACTGCGAACCGATGCACTGCTATCGGTAATTCCCGGTCTCTCCCGGTCTATTTTGACCGGGATTTACTAGTGACCGGCGAATAGTATCACACGTTTATTGTCCGGTCTCTCCCGGTTTTGGAGTAGATGTTTGATATCGTTACAGATATCGTTACAGAACAGAACAAAGATTTTACAGATAAATAAGCTTTTTTTCCAAAATGAATGTTTGTCACTTACTTTGGTTACAATAATTAATAAACACAGATCAACTCTCAAATTTATTGATAAACATACAATTCGAAAAAAAAACCAACAACAACAACAATAGCATGTTTCATTTTATCTATATGAGATAAAAACAATAAATATGTGCAATAATTGAGAAAAGGGTACATTTTTATGGTAATAATATGACACTATCAACTTTGAAA